ATTTCGGGCCTTTCTTAAATTAGATTCTAATTTTTTCATAGTAGAATTGTCTTGCATACAAATCATACTAAAATACTCGGGTGGTAATTTACGCATTACTTGTGTTATTTTGGATTCTTCAGACATGTCAGAGTCAATTTCATCAGAAAGGCGGTTAAAGTCACATATAAACTCATTAACTGTTTCGTCAAGTCTCAGTTTTCTTTGAGTTAATTTAACTTTAAGCATGTTTTTACGGGTTACTGTATTAAACGCTTTTTTAAATTCATCTTTAATATTGGCCCAAGTTAAATTGGTATTTCTTTTTTCAAATAAAAAATAGAAAGATTCTGCAGTGCCTTTTAAATAAAATGGAAAGTACAATAAGGTTTGTTCATCCGTCCAATTATTTAATTTTTTTATCCTATCGAATTTGGTAATGAAATCGTAGACAGATTCGTCGCTTGTACCGTGAAAAGTGTCTAGGGCAAGAGGTGATAAGTTTGCTATCATAGGGGCTGTCATATTGAATTCTTGATCGTAATATTCAATAAAATATAATAAAAATTTAAAAGAAAAATGTTAACCAAATATTATAAAATAAATTAATAAATTTCAATATTAAATGCAATTTGATACTTAATAATAATAAAAAAAAAAAAAAAATGTACTTTACTACAACCTGAAAGTTAATTAAAAATAGCAGGTACAATTATATGGGGTCGTGTCCGTCGTCTATTCCCTTAAAAATATTGGGGTCCCTCCCTGAGGTAAGACTAACGAATATCGGCGCCTCCACCAAATTGTAACGTGTCTGCTTGGCTAGTTGGCTAGGCTAGGCTGAAACGACAGTCGATAGGGTTAAATTAGTGGACCCGAAGACGGGACGGATGGCTAGGCCGTATCTACACTTAAATATCCCTAAAGTCTCCTTTGTATATTTGCTATATCGCCTGAGGAGCTTAACAGGCGATCGTACCTCTAAATAACTTAATTCTCAAGTGTGCAACGAAACGAAAACAGGTTTATTAAATAAGTAAAGCTATGTACATATATATTACACCTCTACCTGGATCCTAAAGCGTTCTCTGTAGTTAGTCCAGGTAATGGCGGAGTTGAACGGACACACGAGTACGGGTAAAGTTAAAAGAAATATAAAATAGTAATGTAACGCGAAATATAGGTAATTGCTTTAGAATAATTAGGTTTATTCATTTCAATTCAACGCGAGATAAGTAAAGTAAAATTATGTAGTAAATAAGTTTAAAAATGTTGCACTAAAATGTCATTATAAACGCTATATAGTAAAAACACAAATTTCATATTATACAAATCAATCAAACATGAAAAAACTTCCGTTATCAAATGATAAATATATCCACTTCATAGGTGGTGTAAAAATAACAAACATGTCGTATAATATTATGACAGTGTAATCAATGGTTAATTATACAAAATATCATAGAAAATATAGTTATCAAGTCTTAAAATTCATATAGGACAATATAATGATTAAGTTATCATTGGAAAAATATAATTATCAATTTTGGTAAAAATGTATGCAAAAATAGTAAAATAAAATATGATAATAGGCAACCAGGTGTTGCAGGAAATAATTCTGCATAATAGTAGTTAACTATTCAACAGTAAATATATTAAATATAATAATTAATCGGTTTGCTAATTTAAATTAGATAATAAAGTTATGTCTTTAAGACAAAAAGTAAAATCAAACCTCGTGGTTTTAACCTCAATCTCATAAAATCGCAGCTTTAAAATAAAATATCATAGATATTCTATTAAAATTCAAAGTAATGTCGTTCTTGACCGTTTGTAAAATGTAAAATTATATGTAGATTATTTCAGTTAGTTATTATGTTTTGTGATGCTTGGTGATGTATTAAGATCAAAAAGTATCTTGTTGTTCAATTTGAAACCAGTTCAGGAAGATGGATTTAAAATAAGTTAAGACTTTTTCAAAATATAAGTATAAAATTTATTGTATAGTAAAAGTGCGTAGACAACAGCTACATAAGTGTATTCAACATGAGTGTAATAATTCGTCTGGAATAGGCTTAGATCCTACTCCTATTTATATGGTTATGCTAATCTGTGTAATGTGTTATTGTGTGAATTGTGTTGACCCGATGGGCGGATGCTACAGCGAACGCTCATCGTATGATTATTTTAATTGGCATTATTTTGGCAATCTAATCTTATAGAATGGCAATAACATGTTTTTCCCAAATAGCTTATCAAAGCGGAACGGACTAAAGTAGTATTGATATATATATATATTTGTAATATAATTCAATCACTACGCCAGATAACCATGCAGGTGCGCTCTGTAATAATTATTAGTCATCTATCGTATAGGTACGCCAATGTATGACTCAGAGAGCTATTATAATATGAGTATTATTAGGCTTAGTGTAGTTGGTTGTTTTGTGTAATGGTGTGTAGAGGGTAACTGAAGGTTATGTTCATAACACCTCCCCCGAAAGACGTAAGTTAGGCTTCTAAAGACTAACTTCGAACTAGACCAGCGAATTTTACAAATATTGCTAAGAATTTGAAAAATACATGTTAGTTAATCATTACATAGATAACATAAATAATTGAAAATAAACAATAATATGTGAATATAAAGAATGACAAATATGTAACAGTCATCTAATTTTACAATAGTAACAATATATAGTTAATTTGAATAATAAAGTTCATTAATAGTTTTGTGCAATTATTACATAATGTAATTGTGCTTACAATAAAATGTGGTTAATTAGTAAAACAAAAGAATACATAACATATACAAAACATAGTTATAATATGACAATTTCAAAATCATGACATAATTCATTTTTTTTTTTTTTTTGAAACATTCAAATGTACATAATATAATGTTTGTAAGTTACATATTGCAAAAGATAATTAAAGTTATACAAAAAAATAATTAATTAATACGTGTTAGTATAAGTATTGTAAATAACAATAGGTATATATATATTAAAGTTAGTTTGATATAGATATATTGAGTTTGATAACTAATAAGTATTAATATTTATATAAACCGAATGTTCTAATAGGGTATTTTGGATAATACAATAAATGCACAGGTATATCTGTGTTCATAGCTAATACAACTAAACTCATACATTCATCTTTTGTGTTTACACACCCTGCTAAATGTTGGGCGGCTTACCTCAAGCTTATTTCTATTTCACTCAATTCCTCTGTGCTAAATAACTCACTACCTGATAGATGTAACATTTCATTAGCATCTTCTACTAACATTGATAAAGTTTTGTAAGTTTTAGTAATGTTATTTCTTAAGTTATATTTATGAGTAGGAATTGATATATAGATATCCTGATGGGTTAATTGTATAAAATTATTAAAATAAATATCATCTCTTTTCGTGACATCAGGTGATGTAGGAAAAGAAGGTCTATTGCAAATTCCTGACATTATGCATTCCTCAACTTGCATTACGAATTCTTCAGTGTAATACATTGATTTGAGTTATCTAAATATTATTGATTAATTATATTAAGTTATTATAATACAATTTTTTTTTTAGTAATAAAAATTAATTATTGTTTGCATATAGTGCAAAAAAATGATAATTAAAAGTAAAAATATACCTAATTCTAATCAATAAAATAAGTTAATCTAGTATGTAAATTTAGAAAAATAAAATATATATATTAATTTTTTTTTTATTTTTTTATTATTTCTTATAATTTTTTTTTTTAGATTACGTTACTTAAATGAAGTGAAAAAAATGTGAAAATACTAAATTTATTATAAGTTAATATAAGTTATTATAAGATTATATATTATATTCTAGGGGTTCCTTTTACTACGCCAATGGGTCTTGGTGCTATTAGGTCAGGTTCTGTTAATATTGATGGTGATCTGGGTGATACGCCTAGCGGTTGATATTTAATCGGCACCTGAGGGAAAAGCAATAACGCATGTGGATTGCTTATCCCTGGTGCTAATGACAAAAGAGCCAGAGGAACATTCCTCCGGTCCTCACAATTTAACAAAAATTGGGCCGCTGCCACCAGATGGTTTTCAAATTGATTTAAATCAGTGCTTGTGAAACTAGTATTACTAACTACATTCGCCCTACCTAGGCACCAATCTAAAGACTTATAATGGTACCTATTATGGCGAATTCTATCCTTATAAATTATTTGGCATAAACTATAAAAAAAAACACTTAAATTATATTCTGTTGGGCTATACACTATTTTTGCTGCCGAATCGACCTTATGGAATCTTGCAAATAACTGATATTCCATGGTGAACTGTTTAAATATTAAATAAATGAGTAATTAAAATTTTACTTAAAGAAATTAAAAATTGTTAATCTTTTTAAATTAAAAACTAAGCGCAATACCAATATAAAATTAATTAATATTAGTACTTTTTATTAAATATTATTATTAAGTTCATCTAATATATCTCCCAAAAACATGCCCTGTACAATTAAGGTATCAATAGTTCTTGCAACTGTCTTACAAACTCTATTAATATCTCTAGTATCTACTACATCTCGAATAAAATCTAAAATTGGGCCAATTGTGTTATTTAGCTCCTCCTCAGTATAAGGATTATCTATTAAAGCATTAGCCAATCTTACATGGTTTCCTAAACATGTTAATGTAACGAAATTTCCGTTTGAAACTGTAAAATGGTCTTCCGTATCCATTGCTATTTTTAGAGCTACAATGAAACTAATTGCTCGTGATCGACTCATAGTGATGTTTGAATATGTAATTTTTTTTTTTTTTTAAATTAAAAGAATTTGATATACATATATGATAAAATAAAATAAAAATTTAAATAAAAAGTTAAATAAGAAGTTAAATAGTAATTTTTGTTTTGTTAATTAAAGCAAGTTTCTCAATAATGCACACCAAAGATCTACATGTTCCTGCCTATAAGTTGTTTCTATTATGGTTCTACTCATCATTGAACTATTTAATTCTCCATAAAATTCTGTCATCATTATTGTTAAAGCCTCTTTGAATTTATTAAGATTAGCTATAGGGTAACCATGTCTTAGTTGGTTATTAGTTTCAAGAATTATTTGGTTATAAGTTTTGTTTGATCGACGAAGAAGATCTTCGTAAGCAATTTTAATGAATAACTTAAAGAAAGATATTTCTTTTAAACTATAATGTAAAGCCATTAGTTAATTAAGTTAACTTACAATATTTGGATAGAACAGTGAATACTCAAATGGTTTTTTTTTTGACTGATAGATATGAATATCTGAAATAATTAGTACTTATTATAACTAAAGTATTTTATAAATAAGATTAAAATATAACTTATTAAAAATTTTATTGTTATATAAATAAAAGTGTTACTTAATTATTAAATATGCTAATTAAACTAAGCTTTGTAATAAAGTATATAAAGGTTGGATATATTCTGGTTTTGAAGCCAAAACAACAATGCTCATACTCATTACAGATCTTTCTATATTTCCAAATATTCTCTCAATTAATTGTTTTAAATTTGTTTCGAATTTATATAGTTTATCCACTGGATATCTATGTGGTAAAAGATTATTAGCTTCACGAACTATTTGTTCAAATGATTTTTGAGATTTGAGTATGAAACAATCCTCATGTGCAATGCACACTACGTTTCTAAAGAACGTAATTTCTTTTAAACTATAAGATGACATTAACGAAGTTTCTAACTTACGGTTTAATGCGAATAGTATTATGACAGCAAGTTTGCAGATATTGCTCTCTTGTACAGAAAATTATCTGAAATATATATGATTATTAGATTTAAAAATAAAATTATGATTGATAATAATTTAAACTTAACTATATACTATATAATTAAAATATTTAATTAATGTTAATTACTTATGAAAAATGTTTTTTTTTTTTTTTATAACTTATTCAATTAACGTGGTGAAGGCGGGGGTGGACCCGGAAGTGGGTTAAGTGCCACCACCTCTTCTCTACGGACATTATTAGAAAATCGATTTCTAAAGTCTACATAAAATTTCGGAGTTGTCGAAGTTGATTCATTTGTATTTGTACTTTTGATATTAATTAATTTACATTTAATTACAATATAAATCGTTGTTATTAAAATCATAACAAGAAGTAGTATTCCTATTATTAAATAATTTATATTAGAATAAGATTTTGTTTGCTCGATTTGATCTTTACGATTTTGTTCATTATCTATCATCTTATTTAAATCAGATAACGAATGAGATATTTCTTGTAAATTGTTAAATTTAATGTGTCCTATATCACTCCAGTCTTTTAAATTTGACAAGGGTGGTAAATTTGGTACTTTTTCTAATATTGGACTCATATCTGTTTTTGGAATAAAATCTAAATATTTACTAATAGAAATAGATTCTACTGCTGTTAAAATTGAATGTTTTGTATACATTTGACAACTGCTATCTTTTAACTTAATTATACCATGACCATGTATTCGATCAATTTGTGGTTCTGGTAAATCACTACAACTTGTTGTAATTGTGTCGTTTATGACAGAAAAAAGCCATGCATTTTGATATCTTAATTTATGATAAATATTACGCGCCATTGTCATTATTCTAGGTTCACATTTAAGTGGAATTACCTCTGGTCTATTAAAAAGAGAAACCTCGCAAGGTTGATTTCCGTTATTTTCTTGTACGGGTTGCGCTGCTGGACAAATACGATAAATAAGGGTTTCTTTACACAGGTTCATCTGTGCTTCAGTATACGTAGTGTATTGTTTTCTATCTTTTGTAATAGCTAGATATGAATATTCTATTTTTATAATTATATGATTAGTATTATTCTCTTTAGATTTTTTCATTTAATGAATAAGTGACACCGCATAACAACAATCTAACAGACAAATTTATTTAATGTCTTTTTACGATATATATAATAATATATTTTTTTTTTTATATTTTTATATTTAAATAATCTAATTTAATTTAAACTAACTATAATATGCTTAATTTATATATATATGATTTATTTTAAATTTACATTAAGCTTGGTCGTTATAATACTTTTTAACATTATTTTTATGTATTGTAACATTTTTTCGACCCCGTCTTATAACTATATTTTCCCTCTCTATAATGGCTATTACTTCGAATGGACCTAGCCAAAGAGGTTCTAATTTGGTTTTTGACGTGTTATCTTTTAATAAAACTAAATCTTTTACTTGTATATCTATTGGATTTTCTTTTATATCGTACCTTTCTTTTGATTTCTTTTTATTGGTAATTAAATTTTCTCGAGCTATTTTATGAGACTCTTGCATATTATGCTTTAATTCTGATATATAGTCATCATAATTATAGCGAGGTTCTGGGTGAGCTTTTAATTTAATAGGTACTTTTACATCCCTTCCATAGACAAGAGCATATGGTTGATATTTGGTTGAACTGTGCTCAGTTGAATTGTAAGTAAAGAAGAAATATGGTAGGAGAACATCCCAATTAGTCAATTTTATGTCTACAAAGCTCCTAAGATACTCCTTTAACGTCCTGTGTGATCTCTCAAGACCACCTTGTGATTGAGGATGAAAAGCTGAGGAGTTTATCTTATTAATCTTTAATAATTTGCACATCTCTGTGAAAGTTTTACTCATGAAATCTGTACCTTGATCTGTCAAGATGGTATCAGGAATTCCATGAATACAAACAAAATGTACCGTAAAAGCTTCTGCTACTGTCTGAGCTGTGTGATTAGGCAATGGAACCCCAAAAGAAAATTTCGAAAGATCATCTTGTAGCGTTAAAACAAAACAATTTCCCGATAAACTCTTAGGCAATGGTCCCACTATATCTAAGATTACTTTCTCAAATGGGCGTGAACTTGTAGAAGTTACTACCATTGGAGATCGAACGTGTTTATTCGAAATTTTATTCTTTTGACAAAGAGTACAAGTTTTTATATAATTACGTACGTCTTGTTTTAAACCTCTCCAAGAAAACTGTTTACTAAGTCGACGTGACGTTCGAGAAACACCTTGATGACCTCCGATTAAAGAGTCATGAAATTGTTTAATTAAAATTAATTTCTCATCATCTGAATATTCTGAGTCAGTACAGATTAATATTTCAATCTCTGTACCGCGAAATATAAATCTAATCATTGACCTTATATGATCCCATTCTAAATTATCATGGTGACCTAATTTATTCATTACTAGTTTAATTAAATTATTTTCTTCACAAAATTGTTTTAAATTAGTTAATGCAATATAAATATTCTCGAAAGTTGATAATTGTTTATCTCTGTTTTTTGTAACTATGAACAAAATAAATCTATTATCGAGTTTAAAGTAATTTATATCACCAATAATCTTACTAGGTGGTAATAATTGATTTTGTGCGAATTTTTGTTTTAACTCATAGTTTAAACCAGTTTTAAAATTATATTGTTTTGCAATTTCTGATACTATATGATAATCAATAGGTGAATCAATTAGAGTCCCTACTGTTTCTTTTACATTGTTATTAGTTATTATAACCGTTTTCATTTTTTCAAGAAAAGTATCATAATTTTCTTCCCTTAACTGAGATATTGTATACATTCTGCTTAAAGCATCTACGTTTGAATTTTGGACACCTGGCTTATAACGAATTTCATATGAATATTCTTCAAGTTGTATACGCCAGCGAGCAAGTTTTGATAATGGATTCTTTAGATTAAATAACCAAACAAGCGGTCGATGGTCAGAATAAATAATAAACTTTCTACCGTATAGATAAGGTCTAAATTGTGTTACACCATAAACAATGGCGAGACATTCGAGTTCTGTTGTACTATAATTATTTTCCGCTTTGTTTAAAGTTCGACTTGCATAAGCAATCGGTAAGTCTTTTCCTACTTCACCTTGTGAAAGAATAGCTGCTAGAGCTTTCTGCGAAGCATCGCTTGTTAATATGAAAGGTTTAGTGAAATCTGGAAATTGTAGAATTGGTTCTTTACAAAGAATAGATTTTAGCTTATCAAATGAGTTTTGACACTCATCACTCCAATTAAATTTAACGTCCTTTTTTAACAAATTTGTCAAAGGTTTTGCAATCCCGCTATACCCGTTAATAAATTTTCTATAGTACCCTGTTAAGCCTAGATATGACTTAATGTGTTTTACTGTCTTTGGGGTTGGAAAATTTAAGACTGAATGTACTTTATTAAGACACGGTTTAATACCATCTTGCGAAATGACATGCCCGAGATAATTACATTCCCTCTTTAAAAATTCACATTTGTCTGGTTGTATTTTAAGATTATGGTCTTGTAACCGTTGAAAAACTTCTATTAACTTATTGTTATGTTGAATTAAATTTTTCGCAAAAATTATTATGTCATCAAGGTACACTAAACATTTTAAACCTATTAAACCACTTAAAACAGTATTCATTAGCCTTTGAAATGTAGCAGGGGATGTTTTTAAACCCATAACTAACCGTTTGAAATGCCAATGACCCTGTAAGGTTGAGAAAGCTGTAAGCTCCCTAGATGCTTTTGCTAACTGTATTTGATAAAACCCAGAGGCTAAATCCAAAACAGTGAACAGCTGACATTGTCCTAATTGATCTAAGATTTCAGTTATATTAGGTAAAGGGTGAAATTCATCCATGGTTGCTTCATTTAATTTACGAAAATCTACTACAATTCTAAACTTAGGTATATTGCTAGCATCTAATTTCTTTTTAACTAAAAGTAAAGGTGCGTTCCAAGGTGACTTTGATGGTTCAATTATGTCATCTTGTTCCATTTGTTTAATTTGAGAATCAATCTCAGTTTGTTGAGCTTGAGCAAGGCGGTAAGGCCTGCAATAAATTGAATTTTGATTCGGTTTTAAGTTAATTTCATGCTCTGTTGCGTCAGTAAAAGTTAATTTATCTCCTTTTAAATGAAATACTCCCGAAAATTGTTTACAAATGTCTAATATTGATTCTCGTTCCTCATTATTCATATGGTCTGTTCTAATGAGCTGATTAATTTTTTCTAATCTATTATCATTATCGTTAATTATATTTATTTTATGAGTAATGAATTCATTTTCATTGTTATATAATACTGTGCTAATATCAGAGTTGTTTATCTCCTTTTTGACCTCTGATATATTTAACATGCTAACTAAAACTTTACCGTTTCGTACCGTACCAATTACGTTACCGCAATACACATCCTGTGTGACTTCCTGTTTATTTATAATAATAGTTTTATTTTCTACTTTTGAATCTGCAATCGGCAAACAAACTATTGTTTCCGACCTTGGTTCTAATATAATACAGTTACTACCTACAACGCTATTTTCTGGTTGCGGATTAATTATTATTTTGTTGTTAGAGATATCTATAATCGCTTTATTTTTTAACAAAAATGATTGACCTAATATTCCATCTTGTGGAACAGGAAACTGCTTATCTACTACATGAAAATCAGTATCAATTTTATTATCATTTATCATTATTGGAATATTTATTAGACCAATTGTTTTAGTAACTTTTTCATTAATTCCCTTTAAATTAATTCTAATATTTTCATCTACTAATATTTCACCAGATAAAGAAGTTATTTTTAAAATATTAACTTCACTACCTGTGTCAATAAGTAATTCAAAATTATTTATTTTACTAGCAGGTGACGCGCAATTTATATGAGTTTTATTTATTGTTGATGAGACTACTGTAAAACATCGTCGTTCTCCGCGGAAATTTGGTTTATTGAACGCACCCCGCGAGTCGCGTTCGTTTGCCCGTTTCCCGAAGAATTACCATTAATACGCTGATTATTATTTTGACCATTTCTATTATCTAAATTACGTTTTTTATAACAATCAGAAATAGAATGACCAATTTTTTGACAAAAATCGCAGGTTAAGTTACTTGAATTATTTGAATTTGGTTTAGAAAAATTACTTTGGTTAGGTGGTCTTGAATTTTGAATAAAAGACTGTTTTTTGTTAAAATTATTGCCATTAGTATTATTATTGTTTCTACATTGATTAGCGTAATGATTTCCTTGACAAATATAACAAGTTAATTTTTTACTTTTATTAGCCGAATTAGTATTATAGCCATAATTATTTTTATTATTATTGTTTCCCGAAAAATTATTATTCCGAAAATTACTATTAAAATTTCTATTTTGACCATTGGTAAAATTTGATCTATTTTTATTAAAATTATTGTTAAACCCGTTATTAGAATTGTTATTAGTATGTCTAATATCTTTTTCTGATCTAAAATCGACTTCTTCGTTATGAGCGATTTCTTTAGCTTGTTCGAGATTTCTCGGATTTCTAGCTTTAACTAAATTTCTAATAGGTTTAATTAATCCTTTAATATAAGTATCTAACGTCTGTCTAACTGTGTTTGCTACTACGCCTTTTATTTCTTCTTGTGAACATTCTCGCGTATATATATCTAATAATTTATAATGCAAAGTTTCAACCCGAGCCGTATAAGAGATTACGCTTTCGGTAAAACTTTGTTGAATCGCGTTTAATTCGGTTTGTAACGCTGCCGCAGATTTTTCTGACTGAAAAGCTTCGCGCAAATAAGTTTTTATGTCACTCCATTTTGCAATTTCCCTAAATTTTATAACTTCTAACGCTTTACCGCTAAGTTTTGTTATAATATATTTAACTAATATAGGTACGCATTTTTTTTCTACCGAATAGACTGCTAAGTCACATGCACTTATAAAAGAATAAACGTCATCTGCGTTTGAACATCTAGGTATTAATTTAACTGCTTCATCAAATTTTAAAATTACGCCCGTATTCATATTACTTGTATTATTTAAGTTAATAGCTGCTTCATTGGCTATACTATCATCATTAAAAGTTTCCATATTAGATAATTTTTTAGTTCTATTTTTTCTTTCAAAATTTAATTCATAAAAGACTACTTCTTTTTTACTCCTAGTACTTCTAGACGGTATTAATTCCTTTAATATATTTAATTTTTCAAAAGTTTGCACAACTAAATCCTTAGTTTTATTAATAGACTTGTTTAATGATTCATCAATGTCTAATGTTTTATTTAAAATATTTTCTTCAATATTAATAATTTCTACACTTTTATTAGTGCTATCACTATCATCAGGGTTTAAATCTTTACTATGGGGAGACGAACTACGACTATTACTACTCATAAGTTTTAAAAATACTCAATAATTACCCATAAAAAGTACCCAAAAAATTTACTCAACAACAGAGTTATTCAACAATAAAAATTCCCAAAAATATACTTCAATGTATATAACTCAATAAAAATATAGTGTAAGGTTCACTAAAATATTTTTCCAATATTAATTTTCAATAATAATTTAATTTATAAGTCCATAAAATAAAATGTAAAATTTATTCAACTATAATTTTTAAATTTTTAATTTTAAATTTTATAAATTTTAATTAATAATTTTTTTTTTTATATACCCACAAAAACAGAAATAAAACTTCTAACGTTTTCAAAAAAAATAAAGTGTTCGGTCACTTAAAATATAATACTTTTAAATACTCAATAATAACTCAATAAAACTTTTATAGTTTTCAAAAAAATAAAGTGTAAAATTCACTTAAATATAACCTTTTTCTTAAATAGTTACTCAATAATATCATAAACCAAAAAAACTTTTACAATAAAAAATATGTGTGTACTCACACGAACGCCAAACTGCGTGAAACTGCCATCTATGACTGATTCCAATTGAACAGGGATGGTCCTTGTTTGAAGTCTCGAAGAAGGGTCTGCAGTTCCCGTCTTTGAAATGTGCCTTGGGGTTGGTTTGCCTCCAAACGGATCCGAAAAACCGACTGCGCCGCTGTGATGCTTGGTGATGTATTAAGATCAAAAAGTATCTTGTTGTTCAATTTGAAACCAGTTCAGGAAGATGGATTTAAAATAAGTTAAGACTTTTTCAAAATATAAGTATAAAATTTATTGTATAGTAAAAGTGCGTAGACAACAGCTACATAAGTGTATTCAACATGAGTGTAATAATTCGTCTGGAATAGGCTTAGATCCTACTCCTATTTATATGGTTATGCTAATCTGTGTAATGTGTTATTGTGTGAATTGTGTTGACCCGATGGGCGGATGCTACAGCGAACGCTCATCGTATGATTATTTTAATTGGCATTATTTTGGCAATCTAATCTTATAGAATGGCAATAACATGTTTTTCCCAAATAGCTTATCAAAGCGGAACGGACTAAAGTAGTATTGATATATATATATATTTGTAATATAATTCAATCACTACGCCAGATAACCATGCAGGTGCGCTCTGTAATAATTATTAGTCATCTATCGTATAGGTACGCCAATGTATGACTCAGAGAGCTATTATAATATGAGTATTATTAGGCTTAGTGTAGTTGGTTGTTTTGTGTAATGGTGTGTAGAGGGTAACTGAAGGTTATGTTCATAACAGTTTAATAAAAGTTTAAAAATCGCTAAACCGCGTGTTAAATTAAATTAAATTAATTATATTTGATTATTTTTAATGCCATATTATGTAAATAAAAGAATACTGTCTTTATATTAAGTAATATTAATTCGCCCATCTCTATTGATAGGTAATATATTTTATAAAAATAAAAAATGTTAAATGTCAATTCTTGACCGAGAGTATAATTTGTCCACGTGGTATAATGATGTAGTCCGTCTATGCGGTGTAATATTCATGGAATATGCCATGTCGAGTGAAATCTCCGTGTAATACGGTAAAATGTGATAAATAGCCGTTAAAATAAAAATTGTATATCCGTCTGTTGTGTTAACAGTATAATAATAGTGTGCCATTGATAATTACATAAATAAAATCTCCGTCAACGCGGTATAAAGTAATAACATTGCCGCCGTGCTATATAATATGTCCGTCTGTGCGGTATAATATAATAAATTTGCCACAAATAATGTATAAATAAAATGTATCTGCCTTTGCAAGATAATATAATAAATGAGCCACGATTAATATTTCAATAAAATGTATCTGCCTTTGCAAGATAATATAATAAATGAGCCACGACTAATATATTGATAAAATGTATCTGCCTTTGCAAGATAATATAATAAATGAGCCACGATTAATATTTCAATAAAATGTATCTGCCTTTGCAAGATAATATAATAAATGAGCCACGACTAATATATTGATAATGTAATCATCAATATATTATATTCCTATGTAAGACACAAAAAAATGATCATTCGATAGCCTATGCGTAGTACTACTATTTTATTCGAGAATCAATCGTTCTAATAGAATAAAGATTAGCTACTTCTCATTCTAAGAGACCGTTTAACATCAATTCCGAATCCTAACTTGTGTCTGTTATATAGTGTGGGTGTGGCTTTCCGTGGCGAAATACGGCATTTTGCGGTATTCAGTGGCGTAATATCTGTAATATATGGCGTTGATTGGCAATTAGTGGCGAATAAAATGTGGCGGCAATAAATGCTGACTGATAATAGCGGTAAAAATAGCAGAATAATGGCGATGTTAAAAAATATAATTATAACCTAAATCGCATCATATACAGTGTGTAAATGAAATTTGATTTAAATATCTCAAAAAAAATAATTTGAGCCTCACATTAAAACTTTACGTTTGGCCAGCGTATTTATCAGCTTCAGGAAAGCGGCAATCGCTACTTATAGACACCCGGGCCCTGGGTGCTACAAGTCCATCCGTGAGAGAGATACGCTTCGTGTCCAGTTTAACAAAGGTCTAATAAAAAAAACAAAGATTTTCCACACCTAAACCTCTATTACTCTACGTCTACTTAACGAGCGATTAATCCTTGTATTCGATTAAACAATTTATTTAAATATTACTACCGATTAAAATTGATTGAATATTACTAACGTATATAATTTTATACCCTCATAAAAAAACTTAAAATTACTCATACTATTTATTTTTTTAATTTATTTATATTTTCTAGTCCTTTACCTTCTCATATCAAAATTATTGTTCTAATGAATCGGCCTATCCTGTAACTACCATGTGAAGCAAGAAAATCTATCTACTTTTGGTCATTATATTGCTTCATCTCGTCAAGTCAAAGCTGGTGCCATGTACTACGACCGCTCCCGACTCGCGGAAAAATAGGAGCACCTACCTAAATATGAAATATTTTTGGGCTTAAATACGTTCCTAAAATATTTCGTTATTCCTAGAAATCTAATAGCGTTTATAACTTATACGCGGATACTTCTTCATCTTAAATTACATACCAATAGAATAGTGTTAAATAACAATAATCTAGTGAAAAATGAACTAAACAATAGCATACCGGCAAATATAATCGTAATTAATAATAAAATATTTTAATAATATGTTTGTGTTAAGCAAAAACTATTTTCTACAATTGTATACCTTGTTTATATAAAAAAAAATTCTAAATTGTTGTACCAATGGCACAGATCAACAATATACACTTATATGATACGTTTAATTCGTAATAATAATGTATATGTATAAATACACACACACACTCTTAGATATACATATATATATAGGATATTATATATGTACATAAAAAAAAACAAATATATGTTCGAGTAATCTAATACCTACGCGTCGGTAAACGGGAAGATTTTGCTGACGCTGTTATTATAATGTCTGGTACATTGGAGTTCATTTAAAATGAACATTGCGATTTATAATTCCGTTAAAAATATTTAGTATTATTATTCAAACAAGTGAAATATTTACTTAAATCTCTTTAAGTTCCCTGACCATATCAGCGTGATAAGAAAGATTATGATGATTGTAAATTGTAATAATTTAATTATTTTAACTCAAAAGAATAGTCTAGATGATTTATTAAATATCGCTAAGTTGTTAAATTTATCATTAATTAAATTAAATTTTATAAGGTAAATATTTTCTAATTACTGGCTTAATATTTTTATATTTGTAAAGAGTTAACGTCAATTTAATTATACATAGTATTAACAATAAGTAAATGGCACACAAAAAAAATATATATTATAAGTTAAAATGCTCAAGTTATATAAAACACAATTATAGTTTGTCGTGGGATTTATAATCAACAGTTGTATGGAATTCCACAACACCCATTGTCAGCTTGAACAAAAAAAAGTAAAATAAAAAAAATAAATTAATAAAAATGTGTGCGGTGTCATTTATTCTACATGTATTAAAATATTTTTCCTAACGGTCAAGTACCATAACGGTTAGTTAAGTTAATATTGTATTAAATTTATAAATTTCGTTTATGTCACGTGTAAATCACGACTCTATTTTGCCAAAGTGTTAATCAAATGGTTTCTACTAAGAGCGTGTCGGATTTCGATATTATAACTAAATAAAGGCTAAGAGAGAGAAAAAAAATTACTGAGGACTGAATTCCTGGTAATTACATCGTGGGAGTTATTATGTATGTTTTAAAAACACTACCTAACAAATGTATAACGCAATACCTATCTTATCATATCCTTAATAGTATAGGCCGCTCAGGCCGTACACTGTATTATCTGTTTCTGCCATACTAGAAAACTAACAATGTATATAACTGCACGCAATAGTATTATTTAAAAGATTCCTAAAAAAAAAATTATGTGTATCTATACTCTTCAAATGAAAAATAAGTTAAATAAAAAAAATTAAAATGTTTTCCTTTTTCTTATACTTAATGCCTATTAGAATATCTATAAAAAGACGGGGAAAACAAGGGAATTGGAGTTTGGACACAACTTTCCCTTCCTGGATTATAGGCTACATTCCCTGTGTTATAATTCTCATTAGATACATATGGAACTCTAGTAAAATAGGGCTTTTGACTGTTAAAACTACTACAAGTAGACCTATTATTATTGTTACTGGCATAATTAAAGTTAATATTTCTGGTACCGTTATAGCGATTTTGGGTTGTATTATAATTCCTATTGAATACATCTCTAACCTTATTATTATTTATTCCATTAGGATATCTATTGTATTTATTATAATTAAAGTTACCCAAACTAATATTCTTATTAGTAATATTATTATTAGACCTACGAGCACTATGCATAGAGTTGTTAAAACTCGTACCGTGATTTATCCTAGTATCCTGATAATGATTTTGGTTTGTCCTATGAGTCTTATAGTTAAAGTTATCTACATGTCTTTTATAGTTGAAACACCTGGTATCACGATAATTATTTTGGCTACCCCTATTACTCATATTATTTTGAGTCCTATAGATATTATAGTTATTATTTCCAATTGTGTTTATACTAAATCTATTATTTTTATTTTTCAAAAAATTAATAACCATTTCTTCGTCATTTATTCTAAGAGATAACTGCAATTTACGTAAATTTATTATACCTCCATAGATTGTTAAGAAATCCATGCCTAAAAGACTATTACCTTTCAAATTTTTTACCACTGCACATTCTATTTCAAACGGCACATTGTTAAAATACACTATAATATTTGTTTTTCCTACAAAATGTAGTTGCGAACCATTCGCAGTATATAATTTTGTTTGCCCAAATGAATTAATATATTGATTTTTTGGAAGTAACGATTCATTAATAACGCTTACACTTGCTCCTGAGTCAATAGTGAACTTATAACCAACATTATTTAAAATACCTCTAATTACTAGGTTATTACTTAGACCATTTTTGTTATTCATAAAACAGCTACTTATATTTTCTACTAACGGGGGTGGTCTTTGACTATTATCATTAGACCATGCATTATAATTATTACCATTAGGATTCATATACCCTTGTTGATTGTATAGATTTCTATTATTAATATTACGACCATCGTCGTAACTATTAATGTTATAATTACCATTATTATGCCTATTTATGCCGTTATTAAAACTATCCTTAAAATAATTGTTGTTTCTATTAACTGTTCGAATATGATTTATTCCATAGGGGGTTTGAGTTAAAGTGGACTCTGCGATTTGTTTTGTGAGTGTCTCTACTTGAATTCTTAAGGCTTCTACCTCGGGGTTGGTTGGGGTATTAAATAAATTTCGGGCCTTTCTTAAATTAGATTCTAATTTTTTCATAGTAGAATTGTCTTGCATACAAATCATACTAAAATACTCGGGTGGTAATTTACGCATTACTTGTGTTATTTTGGATTCTTCAGACATGTCAGAGTCAATTTCATCAGAAAGGCGGTTAAAGTCACATATAAACTCATTAACTGTTTCGTCAAGTCTCAGTTTTCTTTGAGTTAATTTAACTTTAAGCATGTTTTTACGGGTTACTGTATTAAACGCTTTTTTAAATTCATCTTTAATATTGGCCCAAGTTAAAT